CATTTTTTCCATGATGCTTCAGGCAAACCAGTGATCTGGGACAAAGCCTACCACACCCAAGGAGCCTACTCTGAGCCATACCAGCTTCTCACATCCATTCCAACTGGTTTGCTCCTCACTATGTTGCACACACCCTACCAAATGATATCACAACTTACACAAACCACATCAGGAGCACCTTTCACTATCCCGCCTCAGCAATTTCCGCCTGAAGTGCTTACTGAGTTGGCTGACAACTGCCATGCTCCACTGTTCCTTGAGTCTGAGCTTAGTGAGTGGGCTGATATCTTTGAAGCACATGAGGCTCTTGTTTCAAGCTCCCAACCCACCTGCGATAACTTGATTTTTGATGGACTCACAGCTCACCCCATCACTAATCCTCTCCTTGATGGTCCATTGTTCCATCTCCAAACCAGGGTCAAGGTTGTCCACACACAGACTACACCCCAAGTCCAACGTTTCAACTTTGCTCCTGGTCAGTGGGTTGCTGTCCAGGCTGATGCTGATGAAGACACTCAGGACTTTTGGATATGCAAGATCATCAGCATTCTCTGTAAGAGGCTATTTCAATTATAACCACCATTTTATATAAGTAATTTATTGTGTATGTGTATGTGATAGAACAACTGATATATTCTCATCAATGAAGATTGTTCTTGACTCTCAGCAGACCATACCTGAGACTCAAGAGCAAGAAGCTGAAGAAAATAGCACCACTACAGCCAGCTCCATCATGGAGATGTCACAAGATTTGCTCAGAGCACCAGAGGTAAGTGTGTTTGATTTTAAATGAAATGTAGTCCTTTATAAATCTCACCAATCCTGTACTTTCTTCAGGTTGATGTGATAGCCCAAACAACATCTGCCAGAGAGGAGCAAGTAACCCTGCCAACTGCCATGGTGACTGATGAGGAGCTGTTGAAGGAGGTATGCTTTTCATGCTGTTTGTGAAGCCAATTATGCACCACAACTGCAGGACATTCTATTGTGTATGTGTATGTGATAGAATGTTTGCTAATTCATCTCCTCCTAGCCCACACAAGAGGACCTCTCCATGCCTCCAGAGGAGGCCCTGCTCAAGTGTTATGGTGTCCTCTGTGTGGAGCACATGAAGATGAACACTGCAATGATCAACATTGACTGAATGATGAAGAGTGGCACTCATTGGTTGGTGACCACTAGAGGACGCAGAGTTCTCTCAATGTTGATGAACAAGATGTCTGCTAATTCCCTGGGAAGTATTTCAAGTGGTGTTGTGACATTGTTGATGTACGTTTTTCTTTTTCCAACATACTTTGATGATGTCCCTGCTCCAACTAATACCCTTTCTCCATTTCCAGAACAAGGTCTCAGAAGATGACATTCACATCCTCACATGGGGCCAGAACCACATGCACAACAAGGCTGCAGTTCACAAGGATGAGTGGGAGGACTTCTTCCAGTACTGTGACACCCTATGCACCAACAAGTTATGGACCACAACTCAAGGTGAGTGAGCCATTGACTGGAAGAAGCTCATCAGCTCAATGGTACATTTCATTGTGTACACATACACAACAGAAAATTACCTACTTCCAAACACTTACTAACTCCACTATTTCATGCAGCCTGAGGCTCAGAAGCTCAACAAGGCAGAACAGAGGAAGCTACAAGAAAATCTGCACAACTATACCAGCATCATGAAGAAGTTCCTCAATGTCAACAGTTGGCCCAAGAGTGCCGCCTATCTCAAGAATTTGTATGAACAGCCCCTGGCAGCTTCTGTGTCTCATCTCAGGGAGCATCCCCAACATCCACTCCAAGAGCACCAGTGGGGTCCAACACAATGGTACATTCCATTGCATACACATATGTAATTTTGATCTGCCATATCTCAAGATGCACCCAATTTTGTCATGTCATTGTTCCAATAAAACCATTTTTATGTTATCAAAACCATTTTTTTATGAAGTTAAACTGACAAACAAAATCACTTTTCAAAATGACTGGACCTCTCATTTCAAATGACCACGAGTTACATGATGAATACACACGTTTTTTTGGTTTCCAGCACACAGAACCCACAAAAGGAAAAATCATGGCTGCTGGGATTTAACCAGAAAAGTCAATTTCTGTATGCAAGCAATTCAGAGGGGCCATTTGTCACATCTCAGTGCAGAGAGTGCCCTTCATCTCTTACTTCTTGGCCTCCTGAGGAGGTGGCTGCTCATTGTGAGGGTGGCCTGGAGCTGCTCCTTGTCATTCAGTTGATATCAAATTGTTGCAGCATTCACATGATCTGTGGGGCAAGGAGGATATTAGCAAACATTCTATCACTTATGCATACATGATAGAATGTCCTGCAGTTTAATAGCATAATGGGCTTTGATAATGTTGGCCATGGCTGATGGCAGGGTGACTTGCCCCTACATGTACAAAAACTATAAAACAGGACACTCACTTTATCATGTACACATGTGTGATGACTACATGTTCAACCTGCACTCAGTTTATTGTGCACATGTACACAATCCAGAAAATCTGAACTTAGCTTGTTGCACCTTGACTTTGCTTCATACCCTCAATCAATTCCAGTTCATGGTCAACCTCACATCATTTGGGCTGAATTGGAGCACTATTCCTGAAGATAAAATTCCACCACATCAAAGCTCCATCTCACACTGATAAAATCACTTTTAACTCCACACATTCCAAGTTTTTATGGAATCTTTTTCATCTCAAGTCCCTCATATGTGACCTCTCATTTCAAATGAGCACAAGTTATTATTCCATTGTGTATGTGTAGTGATATAAAGTGCTTTAATGTGAATATGTAGAAGAGGTTGTATTGTGTGTGAGAGAGAATGCAATAAAACACATGTGTGTTTGTGTGTGACCCAGGAGGCTCATGTCAATTTAGTGACAGTTGTTGTTACTAAGTGTCATTGTGTGGGAGTGTTACTCATTAACCATGATGATGGTTACCAGTTAATGCTCCTCATCAACACTTGTCTTTGTAGAGGATATCAACTGTTGTCAATGCCCCTACAATTGGCAGAGCCTTGATTGGCTCGATGCTGCGTCAGCTTGCCAGCTGTTCCCTTCGGCACCACCCAACAAAGTCTCTGACCGCTGCGGAGTGATTGAGCCGCGAGGCCTCTTCGGAAAGACTCCCAGGAGATGAGAGTGATTTGAGTCCAGAGAGTGAAAATGAAGCACCAGCGGTGGGCGCAAGCACAAGAAGGGAGAACCTCACTTGCAGCCAGCATCATGTTGCCAGCCTAATAATGTCTCATCTTGGCAAGATCATGTACGCTAGAGTCGAGCGAGGCGGTAGCGGGCGTACAGAGGTCGGTGGTCAGATGTTGCGAAGGCGTCGGGCCACTGATCGTCGGGCACATGTCGAGGCAGCAGGAAGGCCGCCTCGGGCCGCCACTGCCGCTGCTCGTCGACTTCCTTATTGCCTGATGTGCCTCCGCTTCTGCGGCTACCACCAGCTGCGCGTTGCAGGGGTGGCGTGGGCTGCCGCAGCCAGATGTAGTCGCACGCCACGTCTTCGCCCCTGTGATTGCGGTGGGTACAGCCTGGCTCTCGCCCGTGCAAGGCCTTGACGCGCCATCATCGCCACCAACACCACCACCAACCAACAAAGCACGTTAGCGAGAGTGCGTCGCACGTGATGGGTGGGTGGTGTGTCCCCTTGGTAGAGACGTACCCGAAAGGAGGAGGCGAAGCCAGCGGCTACGAGGAACAGGTAAAGCGGATCGGCGGGCTCGGCATTGAAGTCACCACACAACACGATGGGCACGTCTCGCCTGAGAACAGCCTTTTCAGTCATCCGTGTAGTGCAAATAGAAGGGTTGACGCGAAGAAGAAGAAGAAGAAGAAGCACGCGATGCGTACCGGGTGGAGAGGGCATGCAAATGTGCGAGGAGGTTGTGGAGCTCGCGCTGTTGTATGGAGGTGGTGCACCAGTCGTGCGGGAACGACAGGTGCGTATTGATCACCCACCAGGATGGCGATGGCGATGGTGATGGTGATGGTGACGGTGGCGGTGACGATGATGAAACACTAGGGCTCGCGAGGGAGAGCCGCAGCACGTGGGCCACCCGCGCGGAGAGCCACGACAGGCGCAAGTGCCCCTCTTCCTCCACCACGAACCGCCCCGTCCTCACCTGCACGCCTCCTCACCACACCGGTGCCACGCAACGTTCACAGGGCCACGCAACGTTGAGCTTGTCATCATCACCTTCATCATCAGCAGTCAAGACAAGTCGGCTGCGGCCAAACTGTGTACCAAGGTGAGGCAGCCATCGGCCTTGCCCCACGGCCGTCGGCACCCGAAGAAGTCGTACCTGCACCGCGCGTAGCGCCATCATCGCATCATAAGAAGAAGAAGGCGCTACGCGCGCGTAGAAGAAGCAACGGTGAACAAAAATGCGGTTTACCTATCGCCCAGCCGCCTTCGAAAGAGGGCAAGCATGCTTTCCTCATCTTGTAGAGTATCCTGGTGATGCTGCTGTTGCTGCGCGTCTTCTCCGTTGAACCATAACTCTTGGAGGCACACGACGTCGGGGCGGGCTGCCTCCACCAGACCCACAATGTCCCGCGCCCTCTCCCGCCAGCCCCCGCCCTCGGCCTCTGTCATGCTGCACGCTGCGTTCAGGGCTCAGAGCCCCACGCCATCCCAGAAGAGTGCAGCAGCGGGGTGTGGAGGGGCAAACCGGCGAGATGCGGGGAGACGTGCATAGCATGGGGCGAGCACGTTGAAGGTCAGCACCGACACGCTGCTCTCCTCTGCACCTTGGTGCTCGCCCCCTTGTTCATCTTGGGACTTCATCAAAAATCACAACTCCAAATAAATAATTGTGAAAATAATAACAATTTCTTTT